TTTGCTGGCTGTAGCAGCGCTATAGCGCTGCTATAGCGCTGCACAGCAAAAACGCATAAAAAGGATCTACAGCTGCATTACGCCGAAGCTTTTGTTAAGGGCCTGAGAATTGACACAAGGGTTTGCAGACGGTAACATCACTAGCATGGGATACAAACACTGACAGCCCAGAAAATCTTGGCCATGGTTCCTCGGTTCGCAAGGTAGCGTGCCTTCGTAGCAAATTGGCTCGGCGGGCTGTGACAACAAAATTAAAATCAGCTAATGAGCCTAGAGTAGTGCTATACGGCGGTTTGGCACTGATAGGCGGCACGACTTCTTTCATGATGTTTGTTGCCGTACAGCAGTGTAAACTCAAGCGTGCTAAGCCGATGCAGTCCCAGCATACCCACAACGTGCTGAAGCGCATGGATCAAATTTCACGGCACCGGGGACAGGCCGTCAAAAACATTTCCAAGAGTAATATGTGTGGTTTAAAGGATGCAGGCCAAATTTTGGGAAAAAAGCAGACCAAAAAAAAAATCAAAAAAGCCGACTACATTTGGAGCAGTACAAGAAAAATTCATTCCCGATAAAAAGCAAGTTCATCATTAGAAGTAATAAATAATAATAATAATAATAATAATAATAATAATAATAATAATAATAATAATACAATAATAATGAGAATAATAGTAAGAATAAAAGCAATGATAACAATGATAATAAAAGTAACAGTAATAGTAGCAGTAATAATAATAATAATAATAATAATAATAATAATAATAATAATAACAATAATAATAATGATAAAAATAGTAATAATAATAGTAGTAATAACAATAATAACAATAACAATAATAAATGAGCGACGATGATGGAAAGAGGGAAAGCTGAGGAACACGAACGGCAAAGCAGGTCATCAAACCTTAATACAACAAGGAATGAGGATAACTGCACTAAAAAGACGTGCGACACCTTGTAGCATTGGGTCTTAGTGAGAGTTACCTAGACTTTGCTACACGTAAGTGGTAGACAGCTCGAGTTTTCGATGACAAAGCGCCACATCCGAAATGCTCCAGAACAATTGTTGTGAGTACCTCGTGTTAATAATATTATTGGTATGATCCAAAACTCTAAGTGTTGTGCGAAGTCCTTCAATCATACAGAACCATGGAAAACGCTAAAATTTATATATATGCCTATGTGCCACGTGCGGATACTTGAAATTTCTCTTGAGCTCAGGAACAAGATAAGATAGATAGCTGGAATTTGAAGTTTTCTGCCCATATAGATTCAGAGTCAGCTTATACATGCGCTTTTTTCTCGCGTATAGATAAGTAAAATTTCAAGCAGGAAATTTCCTAGCTCTGAAACAAGACAAGATGGAAAACTGAAATTTTAAGAGGGTGATTCCTGTTGTGTGGATCCTGAAAATTTAAATTTAGTCTCTACAAACACTTATGTTTTTATATGAATAGACGGAATTCCAGGAGAGATGTTGTGACATGTTTCTATCCCTTTTGAGCAGAACTGCGCAAAGTGTATGATCATACTGGCTGGTCAGCACTTACCACCGCTTACTTTATAATCCTTTTTTGAGCATTTGAATTCGTAAAAAATTTCCCGAAGGCGCGAAATTTTAGTTCTCAACTCGAATTCGAAGCTCAAAAAAATGTGGTCCGCGCGTTTGAATTAATTTTTTGCAAAAAGTGATTTTTTATGACCTCCGTTTTTTCATCCTTCCTAAAAAGTATGAATTCTTGCGAGCCTTACGCACTTATCCCTTTCAAAAATTTAGTCCTTTCTGTGCCAATAATAAACAAATACTAGAAGTAAATGTTAAAAAAAGTCTTAAGTTGATTTGAAAATAGGTTTATTGCCTCCTTTCCTTCCCCCCAAAAAAGTAGAAACTGAGGAAATAATAAATTTTCGAAAAAAAATTTAGAATCTTAAGTGTATCTCAGATTTTTTACGAATATCGTGAATAACTGATTTCAAAAATTCTGATAATTCCGATATTACAATATGCAATTTGTAAAAATCCAGTAGGCAAGTTCATTTGATTACAAAATCTAGTTTCGAAGAGATTAGCCAAAATCCCTTCCCCGCCTCTCTCCCTCTCCCAACCCCCTCCCCCCCTTCCACTACTCCATTGTGCCTTATCAGCCTCTTTCTGAACGAAAAGGTGAGAAATATGGAACAAAGCATTAGAGGGTGTAAGCGCGTCTCTTGAAACCGCTTTCACCAACATATTATGTTAAAAATAGGTTTGTGAAGAGGTACAAAATTGAATGGTGTTTGAACTGGCAGCGGGACAAAGCATTCGACCGGTTTCATAAATTCGAAAGCTACTCTTTTGCGCTTCTTCTAAGTGCGTCTTCAAATAGAACGCATATAATCCAATTAAGAGTTGTTGCAACACATTCACTGCTTTTAACATTCATACTCCATGGGCTTTTTTCCAGAAAATCACAAGATAAGTGAAGTGCAGAAATTTTGGGAGATGTTCAGTGTGGAACTTAGGTGTCCACCTTCCTCTACAAAGCAACCCTCCTTTCTTCCCACCCCACTCCCCACCCCCTCCCCGGGCCATCTCTCCTCCTCTTCCTATCTCATTCCTAATATGTTGGGACAATAAAACGAACTTTATTCTGAAGGGCTGGAATCCGAAAGCACGATGTCAGGCGAGGAAATCCGCCGACAATAGCCAGCCCGGCGTTGTCGCCACAGTTCTTCCTTCTGCTTTTATTTTTTCCTAGTTCAGTGAAGACTTTTTATTTTAGCTACAGCACGATGAGCTAACATAAATTAGTGAGTTGTACCTCTGAGAAAACGATTGACAAACCGGACCGGGCACAGAAAAGGTAAAAATATATAGAACGAGCAGGAGGTGGGAATACAGTTATTACACAAATATGTTATTTGAACTTTGTAAAATACTTGACGAAATCCCGTATCTTGTCTGAAAATTGGACCATATTCGTTGACCTGGGGGGTTTGTACGCAGAAGTTTCTGTGTAACATGGAATACCCACACCGACTGTCTGATAGGTCTTGATATTCTTGATATGTGAGCTGACACAGGAGTTGTTTGGAGGCGATATGCTATATTTGGTATTCCCTTTTCAAACAGACATAAAATATAATATAAATAAGAGTACCGACGTCTCAATAAGTCTGGAAAAGTTGCCAGCTACAACGCTAGTTAATGGGCTATTTGAGTTTACTTCCTCATCATTCTTCTTTTACTCAGTGGGCATGCAGCTCTCGAGCGCTCTCTTTCCCCTCTCCCCGTACCTACTATCCTATAAAGCGCGCTGGCGTCATCCGCTGATAGTCAAGGTTCGAAGAAATTTGAACATCGAAAGGATATCAGCACGAAAACCAAAAACAAGTGCTATATTATTGCTGGTTTGGTGATGATTTTTTCAGAGCAAAACAAGTTTTTCCTGTCACAGTCCTAGGATTTGGGAAGTCGCTGCTCTCCGTACTTCTTGGCGCTCTCGAGTACGAAGTTGTTGGTACAGCGCTACTTCTGGATCTATCAATGCCAGTAAATTGTCGAAGTTTAATTTTGTTAATTCCAGCACGATTATTTATTTTACACAGTCTAAGCTTAGACCTTTTATGCCTTATTTCTTCTGCCCTTGCGCATTCGACATAAGTGGTACCCTCACTCCAAGCAAATGTCTCATATTTCAAATTTCAAGTACTAGAATTGGTATAAGTCCCTCCTCACCCCATACTTTTGCTGAAAGGTGTGGAGTATCTATAAGCCCCGCTTTTCACGGAAAATGACGTCTGAAAACCCCAAACATTCGAAAAAGAAATCATTGGTGACACGCACTAGGCAGACCCGTGTGATCATGCGTTTTTGCAGTATTTCGTGCTGCAGTAAGACCGTTTAGACCCCAGTAGCTAATTGGTGGCATAGTGCTCCTCGATATTCAGGAAGTTAATTGTGTAACTACGTGGTACTTGGACAGGAAACATCCCTTTTAAATTTTAGCTTGTCAGCTTTTCCGGTTCCCGAGTT